TCTTCACCAGCTGTCATCGATCTCCGAAAGAGTTTTCTTTGCTGGCCGTATCCATTTAGCACTTCGATGATAACATTAAATATCAATAAACAATGCAAAATAATAATGTTTGCTTTTTCGAATTACAGAGCAATCACAGAGAAAATGAATATAGGCAATCAGTTGCACCGAACTGCTCTGCTGAGCCGCTTTCCAGTGCCTCATTTGTGTTACTCGGAGCTCCCCACCACCTGTCAATACCGTTCCAGTGCTCTACAGTGTCATGCACTCATGCTACTCATTTTTTAAAAACCCTGCCCCCTCATGCATAAGCGTATTACTCGGTGTTATACGCTCCGAAATAGTGGGGATAACGAAAATGACAATGTGTCAAGATTGTTAAGTTATGTTTTTTTATCGTTATTGTTTCTTTTTGCATTAAACTCACATTAAACCGATACGAGACAATGTAGAATGGTAAAAAACTGATAATGATATGACCCACAGTCACAACGTACATTTGAGATGCTCCTCATCATAAGCGAGTGCAAGAATGCAGGTTCATAGTGGCTTGTAGTTCGCTTCATCTATAACAAGACACTTTGGAAATAATTTTGAATGTCTACACTAAAATATGAATTCTACACGTGTTGCGCCATCATTCTAAACGCATCATCAGGCATGAACTGGATAGTCTGACAATGCTTCTGAAAATAAAGGCAAAATGTGTTTACATTTTCATTGTTTGGCAGTGTGATACAAATCGTCAACGTCAAACCAAAACATCAAAAACAGGCTAGGTTTTTATCGTCGCGTTCCCGTGCACATTTGCTAGAGCAGTTCGGGAGTGTCACAACTGAATTCAAAAGCACGACCATAACAGTATTTCAAAAACATTTTATACCCAAATTTTATATTACTGTTAATTATAATGTGTGACTGTGAAAAAAAAGAAGTTTAGCGAGAAGAAGATGCATTTGATTGAGAGATTCCTAGACAAATATAAATGGATGATTGAAAATCAAAAGACGATTGCAGCAGAGCAGTTCCGTGCAACTGGTTGCCTATGTTTAGTTTTTCACTTCGCTGATATTTAGCCTAAATAAACCGAATCGTCCTGAGTTTATCATCGAAATGCTATATGCCTCTAAAAGCTTCTTGCTTTCTCAACTTTTCCTGTTTGAGGCCAACATTCTTTACCTCAGCTTCATACTTATGTTTCCTAATAGATATAAGCACTGCATGACCAGCATGTACTATCTCATCCGTTTCAAACTATCGAATACCTACGATTGCTCTCTTTTTCGACAGCCATCGGCCCACCGCCAGGCAACAAATTCATCACCGCCAAGCGCCAATTGCTAGGCTCCAGACCACGCCCCATGAAGAAGCCTTACCTGCCCGTGTCCAGCACCGCTACTTCCGTACCGCCCCAACAGATCCTGCCTCCGCCCACGAATCTTACCACCCAAGACATTTTGGATCTACCGATCATCTTCGCCGATGACAACCAGATTATCCAGCCGACGAACATTGGGGAGGATCTGGGTAGTACGGTTGGTACCTCGTCGACATCGCAACCTGTTGCCGCCGCGTCTATCGCGGCTGTTTCGACTGCCACGCCGGTTACCATGGCGATTGCGAAACCTGCGCTTCCGCAAGCTGCCAAGGTGGGTACTTAGGCTAGGGAATAGGGCGATTTGAAGTGCAACAGACTAATTATTTTTATACCGACGCAGAAGCCTAAATACTAGGTCACTATGACTTGAAAAAACTTTGTTACTCCGCTTTTTTAACTGCGTAAGGTTAGTAGCGCCGTGACCGTTAGTCAGGGTACAGTACTGTGTTTTGGAAGCATTAAACTGTAACGAATTGTTGCGTCTCCAAGCAGTGATAACTTTCAAGTCTCTTGTCAGAGAGGAAGATACTGCTAGCTCATCGCCAGAGATCGGCTTGTCTCTTTGAATTCCTGCGTGTAAAGTGCTGATATCAGCAAGGCTGTGGCTCGGATTGATCGTACAGGAAATGAGGTGGTTGATATGCAAGAGGAACAATATCGGAGCCAAGACCGATACCTGGGGAACACCCGAGTTGACATTGTGGGTTCGGGAGGAGAACCCGTCCGTCAATTGCGACCAAAGAGGAAGCCAACCACCCATATGCAAAGATTCTCTGGGAGACTATAGGAGGGAAGTTTGCATACGTGGGCAGCATGCGACAATTGATCGAACTCTTCCGTTATATCAAAAGCAACATGAGCCTAACCGTAAGACTGAATGAGTTAAATTCACAGATGCTTGATGTAAACTGTTTTTGAGCAAATTGGATAGCGATTATTTTACCTTCATATGCCAAAATTTCTTGTTTGTATTTCGAAACAAATGGTTTATGCGAGAATTGCGGATGCATGTTTTACATAGGAATATTCGAAAGACACACACCAGCGCCCGAGTTTCAGATCCGCCTGAGTATATGGTTTCCTACGAGGAATGTCTGTTAAGTTTTGCATATAGAAACTTAGTAGGCCACGCGGATCGAACTTTGGAGCACAACTTTTGTTCCGTCTCATTAATAGAAAAACGTGAAACACATTAATTGTTACGCCGAAATAAGGATTTTGGAAAATGCATCCATGACTGTCTATGTATGAGCCATGAGACCTTCCTTGATGAACATTCCACTAAAACTGTCGTTTATTGCGATAATTATTTTTATCAGGTCATTCCATCGACACCTTCAGGCAAATACATGGTGTTGAATAGGCCTGCTAACCAAAGCAATTTCATAATCACTTCGACCGGCTTGAAAAAATCTACGACGCCTGTGACGTTTGGTAAGCCGTCACCAAAGTATACGAAGATTATCCTGTCCTCGAAGAAAGTCAGTCCCGAACAAAAGCCTACTCCGACGAAGATACAATGTTTATCGCCAGATGTTACAATTAAAAAGGTATACAATTTTTGTCTACTCAATCATCATAACAAGTAGAAATGGCGGCACATTACAAGCTTTATCCACATTGGAGATTTATATCTCTAGATTTCTTAATTAAATTTCAACACTCGTATCTTTCTAATGGAGCAAGAATTTTACGGAGGGTGTTTATATAAATTTTTTGTATTATTTTTGGATCTACTTTCTGCCCTAGCTGCTCCACATTCGCAATGGTCGATTTTGGTAATAGATGTCTTATATCAATGAATCTCACACCTTGGATATAGGTTAGTTGCTATGCTTTTGTTCGTTGTCCAGAGACCAAGCCTAGACCGTGCTGATGAGTTGCTAAAAAAGCACGAAACAATTGTCCATGATTGTCTGTCATCGGTCTGACTGAAAAAAGCAGCATATTTAGCCACCCTGTATATCTTTTATATTATATTTCTAGCTTCACCAAGAATCTCCAAGAAAAATGAAAATGGCTGGACAGTCATCGATCGTAGAATTGATTGATTTAGAGAATGAAATAAAAGCAACAGCAGTGCCAAAACCGAATTTACCGCCAGGCGTTGAGAAAGCGTGTGCAGCACAGGTGGGTACTACTTTTGTTATCCACCAACAAGTAGCTACAGCTCTAGCGAAAAATTACTTTTTTTTCTATTTGAAAAATCAATACGCTTTTTACGAGGTGAAATCGAATTTTTTTATTGATAAATGAAGGTTGGTTTATGCCATTTATGTATGAAAAACAACATCAGTCATGTGACCACCGCGGCTTCTTTTAGAGGCCAACATCCGATCAAAATTTTTAATGACTTTTCCCAGAATAATCGGGTCTATGGCCGCAATTTCAGTCCGAATATTGCGCTTTAGGTCTTGCATTGTCCGGGGACCATTTGCATACACTTTTCCTTTTAAAAATCCCCAAAGAAAATAGTCAAGAGGTGTTAAATCGCACGATCTCGAGGGCCAACATGTCATCTGAATTTCGTGAAATTATGCGGTCTTGAAATTGCGTGTGCAATAAGGCGATTGTTGTGCGAGATTTGTGAGCCGCTGCTCCGTCTTGATGAAACCAAAGTTCGTCGGCACCAATACGATAAAATTGTGGACACAAAAAGTATGTTAACATGCCGCGATAACGTTCCCGTTGACGGTAATGGCCTTTTCTTCGGCATCTTCAAAGAAGAATGGCTCAACGATGCCACTAGCCCATAATCCGCACCAGTCATTTTTCAGGATGGAGATGCTGTTCATGATATTGGTGTGGATTTTCAGCCCCCCAGAATCTGCAATTTTTGCTTATTTACGTACCCATTGAGGTGAAAATGAGCCTCATCAGAAAAGAGCACTTTGGCCGAAAATCCGTCTTCTCTTTCCAGCATCCAATTAACAAAAACACGCCGCTGTTGATGGTCTGCCGGCTTCAATTCTTGTGTTAGTTGGATTTTGTATGGATGGAGGTGTAAATCAATGTGTAAAATCCGGCGTAAAGTGGTGTCACTAATTCCCAATTGTTGCGAACGGTGCCTAGTCGAGGTGGTTGCATCTTCTCGCACACTTCAACTCTCTGCGGCTATTGTTTTCACAAGTACGAGCATGTTGGTACGTCTACGACCTTCAGTTGAATCAGTTTCCTCAAAACGATTAACAGTCCAACGAATTCCAGGCTCTGTAGGGCGTCCATATCGGCCAAAACTAGTGCGAAGTTTGCGAAAAGTATTTTTTATATTTCGACCGTTTTCGTAATAAGTTTGGATAACCAAAATGCGTTGTGTTGTGACTATAAATGGCATACCTTTGACAGTACGGTTATGCATACCACATGACTTTTGACTCACATAAACTTATAGGTAAAAAAAGTAATAGATGGCGCACCTAGTAGTTCTATCTATTTTTCAGATAATCCACAAGAAATTGGAAATAGCCACTCCTATGAAGAGGCAGTCTCCTTCTCCGTTGGAGCTCGCAGACGATACAGATCCGGACTATATTCCGCCGAAGAATTTGAAGCTTGACTGACAAAGAACCAAAGTACTGTATATTACTAAAAAATAATTTGTTATTTAAGAAATGATACTCAATGTCGCTTATTTAGTTTATTATATAAAAAGTATACATATTGTATAGAACATATTCATAATTATGTCATAGACAAATATATGTACAGTATGTAATGTATCACAATTTATGAGAATCACTTTCAGTTGTTACCAAGTATTTAGTTTAGTTATGGCTGCCTTTGAGATGTTATTTGTAAGATAGGTAGTTTCTTTTTGTAAAATAGTTTATTTTCTTATGAACATTTAATGCATCTTATCTTGATCACAGAATGCAAGAATGTGTAAAATAGATGATTTAACACAATTTATAGTTTCATTTAAACACCTAAAAGACCCTAGGCTGTCAGTGAATGTTTCATAGGAGACAACATAACATTGGTATGTTATAAAAAAGGCAACACTATCTCGATATCTTACTAGTCTTTCGCGACTTTATCTTCCAAATGTCCACTTAGGTAAGCAATGTTGCCAGATTTTGGTCCTAAATATACGATAGACTCTGAATTCATACAATTGCTAGGTTTGAGCTACTTGAAAAGTTTTCATGACATATCTCTTTCAACAAAACCATCAGATTCAACCAGAGATGATACGTTCGTAGGTATCCAGAGCTTCTTTGTACAATGGTATAAATTGTTCTCTAAACAAAGAACTGGTGATACCATGCGTCACTTGTAGGATAGATTTTGCTTCTTGTAAATGTTTCACTGCTTCTTTAACGCGATCTTGGTACATTAGCAGTTTTCCCAGTTTCAGATGTAGCAGCCCAGTCAGTGGATGTTTTTTTCCATAATATTTGCTGTAAAATGAAAAATAAGAATAAAACTAACAGGATTGTTCCTTTAAAGCATTTCTCTCCAACTCGAGCACTTGGTGCTGGTGCGCTCCGGAGCTGAACCCAGCGGCACCGGTGCCGTTCCCCTCCACCTCGACCGCACAGCCGTCGCGACAGAAAAACATTAGCCGTCTCTCGGGCGCGGGCCATTTCTTAATAGGACTAGACAAAGTGGACAGGTTTTTCAGCTTCTTAACGTGCATCTTTTTTTAAACGATGTCATTCAATCCTGCATGGAAGAAGCCTATTTTTTGTAATTACTGATGGAAAAGCAAAATGTTTGATTTGTCACACGGTATTGAGGCCAGTCCTTCTGAGTTCTGAAGAGGTAATTATTAATTTGGTCGTAGTTGATTATTATTAATGGTGTCGTAATGCAAGTTATATTGTTGCTTTGAAAATCGCAAAAAGTGGGAGACCGTTTACTGACGGTGCACTTGTCAAAGAACGCTTAGTGGAGTGTGCAGAAATATTGTGCCCATCTCCTGTAAGCAACTTTGAGACAATTAGTATGTCCGAGCGAACAATTTCTCGTCGAACACTTGAATTTGGTGCAGATTTAAAAGCACAATTGCGGGAAAATGTACCCATTTTGTGCAGTATTCTATAGCTCTCGATGAAAGTAAAGACATTTCTGACACAGCATAATTAGCTGTTTCCGTTAGAGGTGTCGAAATAGTCTTTACTATCACCGACGAACTATTAGACGTTATCCCGCTCAAAGATACAATGGCCGGAGAAGATATTTTTGATGCTGTAGAATACACAATGAATGGCATTGGTATACTACTCAAAAGTTTGCGTAGTGTTGTTACTGATGGAGCGCCAGCAATGGTATCGGAAGCACAAGGTTTTACTGGGCGAATGAAAATAAAAGTACGCGACGCTGGGATACCTCAGATATCATCGGTACACTGCATATTACATCAGGAACAACTATGTGCAAAAACCTTCCGTAATTTCAAATCTATTATAACATGTGTCAATTTCTGCAGAAAGCAAGGTCTCAACCACGGCAGTTTGAAGTATTTTTAAAAGACCTGGAAGCAACTTACGGTGACATACCCTTTTATTGTGTTACGCGCTGGTTAAGCTGCGCAAAAGCAGTTCTAAAGTTTTTTTTTTAAATCATTGACGACGTTGAGATGTTTATGCAAATGAGATTTTTACGACGCCATCTTCAGTGCTGTGTAAATTACCAGACTGGTACTTACTGGAAACTATTTACTAATTTGAGTCCATATTGGGTAGCATCATCAAACTTTCCAAAATCTATGCAGCTGTCAAATGCCAAATCTAAGATTTTCACGTGTCTGATGTTATATTTATACAGTAGTCCTTCATGGTTCTTCAAGCAAACTTTACACACATCCAAATCTAACCGAAAGTTAAGGCGTACACTTTTCTATCATATAAAATCTTGTAAAATCAATAAGAAGAGAAACATGAAGTGATTTTGACAGATAATCATTCAGGAAATCTATATAATGAAGAAGCTGAATCTAATGAAAAAAAAAACAAATTTGAGTTTGCTTTTTATGTTTATCAGTCAAACAAAGGTTGCTGCTAAGGAAATATTTTTTAGTGACTTTGAGTACTACTTTTGACAAAAGGATACATGATGTGGATCCCTTCATATTATCCAAATGCATATTTGTCATGTCCATGATATCATTGAATTCCCTGATAAATTCTTCCTTGATCTCTGTTTTGCATTTGGAACATTTCTGACCAGGTTTGATGCAGGTAGAATCAATACAGTTTTTACATTGTTTATTTGGACATGCCATGCCCATCATTTCGACTATAGGCTCTGGTTCCACACAACTGGGACATTGGCAGAGAAAATAGTATGCAGACTCCAGTTCTGACTGTCTTTCCTTCTTGAGAGCCATCACATCTATGTAACTTATGAACATCTAAAACAAAAATTTGATAGAACAGGATTTATTTACCTTTATATCGATAGACTTTTTCTATATTGGTTTACCAAAATTTTCCATTTAAAATATATGATAAGATGACTAACCTTAGACCAATCCAAAACAGGAATTTTCTCAAGTGCTCTCAAAACTATCTCAGTACTTTCAAATGTAGCCACTACATTTGGCTTGCAAGAATGATCTAATATAGAGGCTCCTAAATATATTCCAGTACCAACACTTTGCAGTTCCTGCGAGCAGATATTGAAAGAGTTTATACACATCTAAAACACAACAATACATATTTTTCCAGTATACTCTCAAGCACAAAAGACATGAAGAGTCTTACTTTTCCATATATTTCCATAAGTTCTGCAGAAGATGGAACATTTTCTCCATTAAAATATTCAAATAAAACACCATATAAACATGTTACATGTTCTACCCTGAGTTGGTCTTCTTTTATTCTATCATAATCTGCAAAATATTTTTGTTTCAATCAAATATACCTCTATTTCTTTCTTCAAATACAAAACATACAAAATAATTCCTAGACAAAAATATTGTATTTTATTGTGGCTAATATTAGAGGAACAACAGATTCCAAATTTTGAAGCATTTTTCAAATTCTTCAGAATTTGCCTATAAAATAAACATGAAAAAAATCATACTCACGAGACATTAAGTCTTTAAAAGTTCTGCAATGATCTTGGTCATAGTAGGTTTTTCTAGTGCCACCACCTTTCTCCAAAATTTTCAAAATTCTAGCGAGCATTCTAGCCGCATCAGGCAAAATTCTAGGACCTATACTTTTCAAATATTTGCATTCCAGCTTATGTATTGCCCATCCATCTTTTTGGCATGATTTATTGCAGTAAAATGTGTAGTGGCAGCCTGAACATTTTAACAGGTCATTCCTTGAATTGAAAATATATATATATATATATATATATATATATATAAATAATTAAGAAATCTCACAGACAATAGGTCTAGGAATTAATACAAACATATACTGTATTTGTTTTTAATACTGAAGCAATGATGGCAAATACCTAAATACTGAGGTACCACACCAATGCTCTGTGGACAAAGAAGTGGCCATATATGAGTTTCTCTTGTGTATAATAGCTAAAAAGATTAGTTACGTGCTTACTTTTTCAAACAGTTGTCGCATCTTTCAGTCCTAAACCGAGAAGACAGTACATACACAAAGGGTTTTTCTTTAAACAGTAGATCTCCTGGTGCAATATCACGAGTTTTCAACATTTCACCTTCCTTCGAACAGAAATGAATAACAGGATTTTAAAGGTGAACAATTTAGAATCGGATCAACCCACATATTCAGGTGTTATTTTTAAGATAAAGTACACAGCCCTATTTTTAAATGCTTGGTTGCATTTAAAATAGAAATGTTATATTGAAAACAGCTTTGTTTTGAAGTGCATTTCTATTTCTCACCTCGCAGGTAGAACACACATATCTGAAACAGTCGTCCCACACGGTGGACTTTTACAGTGAGAATATGTGGATTGGAAAAACATTATAAGTATACGTTTTGCAGAGAGGTAAACTTACCATTTTGTAATATCTCTTTATCTGATCTTATTTTCTTTTGTAACAATAGTAACAGAATCCTGTGGAATTTCGGAATTTAAATTGAAGGAAATTACATTTCACAGATTATTAGTATACTACACAACTACTGAATGACTGAATTTTAAATTTCAAATTTAAAATAGGTTAGGTTTTTGTTGTCACTGTCAAATGCCAAAGATGTCAATACGAAAGATTTTAACGTCCATCAGGTATGGAGAGAGGTACACATATTCGCCATCTTCCTCCCTATAGATTTGAAAACTAATAGCTGTCATGGTGTTACTAGCAGTCCAGATCTATATCCACAATGGACTGGAAATCCTAGGGAAATGGTGGAAATGCGGATTGCAGTTTATGTCACATGAAATTGGCGTCTTCTCCATATTACCTGTGAAACCACGCCTTGTTCACGTTCACGCCTTGTTTTCAATGCGCCATATTTTGGGTCATGTCATAACATTTTTTATCTATTACAGGTGGCCGAAAAACGAAAATAATCGTGAGATTAAACAATCCAGTTGTTTATGTCTTTGCTTTCTACAGAATTTTGTAATGCGAGAGAATCATTTACATGTGATTTACATAATATATTGATTTGAAAACACAATCTTTGAACTTTGCTCTGAAGCCCCCCACTAATATGTTATTATTTATTTTTATCCTAATCAGCATATCAGGCTATAGGTTACACACGGCAAATTATCCGTGTGATCGCCACAAAAGAAAAAGTAGTGCCGTAAAAGAAAGACTGAAAAATCTGTGATACATTTAAGACATTTCAGCAAAAATGGTTCATACAAACTTTATAAAGGTAATTTATTACTTATCGATTGCTAGAAAAATTAACTGTAAAATATAATGTTCATGAATGATAGATTGATTTTGAATTAATAAAGATGAATACCGATATAGCAAATTGAAAAAATACGCACTTTTGCCATAAATTAACCTTACCAACTAACTCTTAAAAGTTAGGTTAACTATTCTTGGCTTGCCTGCAGTGCTGCCTTTAAGTTATGTAGGGGCCCCTCTGCACATAGGAAGCTCTGGGCTTGCGGCAGAATAAGGGGCCTAAGACCAAAGCGAAGTCCGGGGACTTTCCTTGTTGTTGGGGAAATGGGTACTCGGAAAACTTTTTTTAAAAATTTCGTTTAATTTTCGGGCGTTTGCCCCACACCCATCATGATGGAGCCGTGGGTACTGGCCGTGTGTACCCAAGGGGGAATATCTTGCATTATCTGTTTTCACTCCAACATTTTTTTTGAGCTTGAAAAATGTAGGTGTATCTACTTAGATGTTTAAAAAATATTGGGGTTTCCGAACGAAAGGTACCTCAGAACACCTTTACAGAGGCTCCACAGCTAAGAAAAATTATATTTTGAGAATTATAACGTATCTACAAAGTAACAAAATTAGTGCTTCTAGTGCCCCCAAGACCAGATAAATTTTTTTTCGGAATCATGACATATCTATCCTCCGCTATTATTTAGTTGTCATCAACCGTTAATAAGACTCAGAAGGCCGCTCTGGCCTGAAATTACTTCACCCCTAGGGACCAGTTGAAAAAAATCGAAAGTCACATTGAGGTGAGTCCGTTTATATCGAGCTTTACGTCTATTTCAGACAACAACGTCCGTAACCAGGAGATTGTACAGCACCAAGGGCAGTAGTTCTGTCGTGATAGTCTCAGCTGTACGAACACCTATGGGCTCATTCCTGGGCAGTTTGGCTTCCCTTCCTGCAGGGAAACTGGGGGCCGTCGCTGTGGGGGCCGCAGTGGAAAGGGCAGGCTTGCGCAAGGACCAGGTTCAGGAGGTGTTCATGGGCAACGTGTGTCAGGGGGGAGTGGGGCAAGCACCTGCAAGGCAGGCCACATTGTTCGCGGGGCTACCCACTTCGACCATCTGTACTACTGTTAACAAGGTTTGCATCTGTACCCATAGCATGTATACAATATTTTTCGAATTCCTGAGAAATGTTAGAGTTTTTCTGCCAAAAAATGTAGGTAACTGGCAATTTTAGCATAAACACTTTAATATTCCTGGGCTATTTCAGAATCAAAATCCGGAATTTATGCCGTCGCGGAAAGTACCGAATGAGTACTAACGATGCCCTTATTTTTTTCAAGATAAGACGTCTAATTGAATGTCTTTATTTGGGGGGCGAAAACTTCACATGATCGTCTTTACTATTGAGATACAGCTTGATCAAGTTTTCAAAAATAGGGCAGTAGTACGAAACTGACTTTTCTTAAAATGACAAAAATTGAATATGTATGTATTCACTTATGAGCAGATTTGATCTCTTATTTTTTTTTAAAACGACGCACGTTTTTCATCTTAAAAAAAAATTCTCTGCATCGAAATATTGTTATATAACTATATTCTAACGAGATTCCCATTTTACTGTTCAAGGTCTATTTTATTACTGCTACACTAATTTATAATACACAAAAATAATTTATAACAAATAACTATGGTATGTCGACAGGACTATTATTCCATCTTTCCACTCGCTAACGGTCTCGACTGAGACTAACTCTTTCGCCATCTACTCGGGTATTTATTCACTTATCGACGTGTCGAAAAATGTTTTAGCGTTTTCCAGGCAGAGTCGTGAACATCCATGGGAGTAGACAAGATTGTACCTTGAATATTCGCGATTACGTCGCGAGCCGTCTAGAATGCAAGCACGCTGTATACATGGTCGCGTAACTCTGGTTGCCTAAGCTTCGACTCTGCCAAACAACTCGCCGCTCAAACTGTATCGATTTTTTTAGCAAAAGCCATGCATCAGACTGAAAAATATCAAGCAATCAGCTTAGAATTGAACGGGGATTTCAAAAATAATTTTAATTTTAAGAGAAATCAGTAGCTTACCATCAATGTCTGCCAAAAGAAGCAAATTCTGTACGAACGCGACTGGCGGAGATTCAAACAATGGGGTACAATAAAAATGCCTTTTGATAATACTATACTGAAAAGTTCTGGAACCACACGATAATTTGTGAACTGATAATGGTTCGAAAAAATGAAGCCTTGCTATTGATAGGAGTTATCTCCAGATATCCAATGGTGACCATCCAGGTCATTTGAAGATCAAGTCGATTTTTTTTAAATAGAACCTCTCATTTTGACCCGAAATGAAAAAAGCGGAAAATTTTACTTTTAAGTATGATCTTGAACGTTGTCAAATTCTGACCTTAGGAGGTCATGGTCAAGGTCGAACCAAGGTAGGGTGATATAACTTGAAAGCCACTAGTCTTATAGGGAAACTACCGCGACATTATTTTCATGATTTCTCCCTAAATGGTGACCTTGGATCTGACCTTGTCCATGACATTTAAGATCATTTAAAGGTCAACCCTTTTTAATGGAACCCTATACTTTTGACTGCGGAAATGGGGAAAAGATAAAATTTCATGCCCGAATACGTTCTTGACTACTTTTGGAACTTGATTTTGGACTTGACCATCAAGGTCAGACCTAAGTCAAGCTTAATTTTTTGATAATTCAGGAAACTGTGTAATCCCCAAAATAAACTGACTTCACTGTTCTTTCATGATTTTTATCTGGATACATCTGCTTGACCTTGCGGGTCATCATGGATAATGTCGAGATTCAAGGTCGCCATTAAATATGCGGAGAGAAATTATTAAAATAACGTCTCCATGACCATGACCTCCTAAGGTCAAGATTTCAGTATGGTCAAGACCATATCTGAACGTAAAATTTTCCGTTCTTTTCATTTACGGCGTCAAAAATGGGGGCTTTCATTTAAAAAAATGGACTTGACCTTAAAATGACCTTGAAGGTAATGGTCAAGGTTAAATTCGAGGTCACCATAGAAGAGCTGGGGAAAACTCCTATCAATCGCAGGGCTTTTTTTCTTCTTTAAACGAGCCCTAAAATCGTCTCCTTGAAGATGGACACCCAATTAGGCTATCGAAATAAACGGATCATAGGGTACCGTATTTGCAAGTTGTTCCGTGACAGGTATGCGCATCAGGCATGAAATCGATCATGCTAGCCTCCCAGTCCATCCAACTGGGACACCAGGATATAGTCTTGGCAGGAGGAATGGAGTCCATGTCCAACGTGCCCTACTACCTCAAGAGGGGGCAGACTCCTTACGGAGGAGTGACCTTGGCCGACGGAGTGGTCTTTGATGGGCTGACTGATGTCTATAATAAGTTCCACATGGGCTGCTGTGCTGAGAATACCGCTAAGAAACTAGGTGAGTGGGAACTATGTTTGCATGCTACCATTTCAGAGTACAAAATAGAATATACAGGGTGTAATCTTTCAACCTAAATAGTTCGAAAAAGTGCTCATTCTAGAAAAAAAGATTGAAGCAGAAGTTGTAGGGTTTCAAGGTGACCTTCACGGTGACCTTAACGGTTATTTCAAACTCAAGCGGATACTTTCAAGTAGAATTCCGGAATTGGAAAGAGGAGAAAATTTTTATATCCGAGTATGAGCTAGACTATGACATTCAAGGTCATTACAAGATGAAAACAAGCCATTTGAAACAGTTTGCTGTGGTAAGAATGTTCGACAGCAAATTTGTGAACTTTGGTGACTTTGACCATAGATTTGATCATCACTTGAATATTCAGATGACCTTGATTTTAAGGTCAAGGTTATACTCGGATGCAGCATTTCTTGCTCTTTCCAATGCCGGGATAAAAATGAGTTGTTTCTTTTGAAAAATTCGTCTTGATGTTAAAGGTCATGGTCAATGTTGCGATCAAGGTCTTTCTAATTCCGTTGTAAAAAGGGGGTTCCATTTGAGAATATTCGTTTAACTCTGGCAAGACCACGAAAGTTGTAGTGAAGGTCATCGTCAAGGTCACCATTATTTTGGTCTCTCGATCCCCTGCAGCTTTGGTTTGAAACTTTTTTCATCTAGTAATTTTCGAAATATTCAGGTGGAGAAATGAATATAATGATGAATGAATAATGATTTTTTTGCTAGTATCTTTTTGGCAACACTGTTTTTGACAGATGACGCGTGAATCGTGTCTTGTGTCATTGTCAAACTTGTTCAGTTTGGTCTATAATTTAACCATGAATCGACTTACGAACGAACAACGCTTGCAAATTATTGAATTTTACTATCAAAATTCATGCTCGGTTAAGAGAGTGCATCGAGCACTTCTTCCAATTTATGGGCAATTTGGTCGGCCTACTGAGGGAGCTATTCGGAAGCTTGTGACAAAATTTCGAACCCAGTTTACATTATTGGACATTAAACCACCAACACGCAGACGTAGAGTGAGGACTGAAGAAAATATTGCGGCTGTATCCGCCAGTGTTAGTGATGACCGTGAAATGTCGATTCGCCGCCGTTCGCAGCAATTGGGCCTCTGTTACTCCACTACGTGGAAAATTTTGCGACAGGATTTGGGTGTAAAACCTTATAAGATACAGCTGGTGCAAGAATTGAAGCCACGCGACCTCCCACAGGGTTTCCAATTTGGTGAATGGGCGCTGGCAAAGTTGGAGGAAGATCCACTTTTTTATCGAAAAATTGTGTTCAGCGACGAAGCTCATTTCTGGTTGAATGGTTACGTTAACAAGCACAATTGCCGCATTTAGAGTGAAGACCAGTCAGAAACATTGCAAGAGCTACCGATGCATCCCGAAAAAATCACTGTTTGGTGTGGATTATGGGCCGGTGGCATCATCGGGCCGTACTTCTTCAAAGACGACAATGGCCGGAACGTAACTGTGAATGGCGAGCGCTACCGTGCGATGATAACAAACTTTTTTTTGCCCAAAATGGAAGAGCTGGACTTGACTGACATGTGGTTTCAACAAGACGGTGCCACATGCCACACCGCACACGAAACAATGGCCCTATTGAGAGGCGAGTTCGGTGAACAGTTTATCTCACGTTTGGGGCCCGTCAATTCGCCGCCTAGATCGTGTGATTTAACGCCGTTGGACTATTTCTTGTGGGGCCATGTTAAGGCTAATGTCTACAGGGATAAACCAGCAACGATTGACGCACTGAAAGCCAATATTGAAGCATTTATTCGTGAGATACCGGCCGATATGTTGGAGCGACTGTGCCTAAATTGGACCTTGCGCATGGGCCATCTAAAGCGGAGCCGCGGCCAACATTTACATGAAATAATCTTTAAACATTAAATTATATCGACCGTTCTATCGACTCAAATAAAGATTTATTATGATTAAAGCGTTGCGAGGAAGTGCCTAGTCAACCTGCTTGACGCCAAACATACTGTTGGATGAAATTTTGAAAAATTCTTGAGTATCTACAGTGACAGGGTGAAGTTTAGTTACGATTTATGAAGAAAGACAAATATCAACAGTATAGCATATAATTTTACTTTTACTATAAGTACATTACATATATTCTACGCTTTGGTCTGTTTTCTCCTTAACTTACGAAGTTTCTTCATCAAATTCACATTCGTAGACAGCGCTCGACTCATCGATTCAAAAAGTAGATTCTCTTGAAAGAACGCCTGAAAAGGTAGATCTTCCACAGAGAACACATGAACGTTTCCATCCACATCTCCAACTATCAGGCAGTTTCCGTTGTCCGTGAACTGTACCTTAGTGCATCTCGCCTTGCTTGGAGACTCTGTGATAGATTGGGGATCGTAGATCTTTCTTTGTATGTCCCAGATTTGGATGAACTTACCTTTGAACATTGAATAGTGGTAATGTTTCTATAGACCGAAAAGTGTCGGATGTTTTTTATGTAGTATTTAGATAACGGTAAGAGATACGAAATCATTTAAACGAGGACACATTTAAGTAACAGATAATAATCAAATCCAAGCGAAAAACCAAAATTTCTGTGTTATGTGCCGCGGTTATAATATGGTTCAAGATGACTCACGGGTTGATGACGTCAATTGCACGAATCGCTTGAACGCGTTGGTGTTAACCGCGGTTTTGTTGCAAGTTGTTTATTTTAGAAAAGCGCGTATATAATCTCAGATTATTTTTATTATCACTTAATACTCGGTGCTTTTTCGTCTACAACTGTGTATGGAAAGTTTAAATAAGAAACCTTTCATAATATTCATGGGAGAAATGTTTTTTTTTCAGATTTTTTTTTAATGATGGAACCATGGCTTTGTAGCTATGATAACTTTCAATTCTCTAAATTTTTCCACAGTCAAAGAAAACATTTATTGATTCAGCAGAAATGATGAAAAAAGGAATTAGCAAAACCGTATACAGGTGAATATCATCTAGTGAGTTTATATGGCCATATTTTAATATTCTTGTGGTATATGGCTACACAGGATACTTTGTTATGCATTGGGAACTACATTTAAAGTGTCCCCAACAACTGTAATGAGTATAACTAATAAGGTGCTCCACTTTATGGTAAAACTGAAGTCAGCCTGTATCAATTTTCTCAAAATTGAAGCTGAAGTACAATAACAATATCCAATACCCGGCAAAATTCTAACTTGTCACATTTCAAATAATAACCAGAAATATAAAACTACTCTTGAGTTGGGTAAATACCACAATTTTGCGGTGATAACTATGACATATAACAGCTGATTCGTGACGTCACGGATCTTATAACCAAACTGATAACCACACTCGCTTGAACGGATCGGTAAATACCAACCCAAAATGGTAAATATCATTTCCATTTGGTTATCCGCTTGAATTTGATTAATGACACTTGTAAGTTTCGTAATTCCGAGCGTTGAAGATACGAAGAAAACCGATTTTTCCCAAAATAGTTTCTGTTTTTTCCTGACTTTATTTGAGATGGCATTTCAGCATAAAAAGTACACTGACATTAAAACTTTTCTCCTCTATAAGACAGCATAAATAGAATTTCATTATGACTCTTTTTTATCCTCATTCATCAACTTTATATTTTTACAGAATTTTTATTCTGATTCAAAAATTGTACAGGGTGTCCGCAAAGTTAGGGTTTTCCTTTACACAACGTGTAGATCTTGAAAACATAAGCAATTTTTCTTAGTACCATATACACCAATGTCTTAAGGGAACCGAGATAAAGGGCTCTGCAACATCAAAAATATCTGAATACCGTCCTGTAGCGGCGACATTCCCGAGTGGTACTAGGACACTAGCTCAACCCGACGACAGAACTGGGTCGGGGTCAGTGTGTCAGGTCAGTATGCAACCTTCAACCGACGGTTACGGTCACGCGTGTAGAGGTAATCGCGTAGACGAGAATCCCTCAACAAGCACTAGAGACGTGGCTAGAGAAGTGCAAGTATCAAAAACTAAAGTGTGGCAAACGCTGCGTGAAGAGGGGCTGTATGCGTTTCACGTCCAACGTGTACAAGCCCTTTAACCTGACGATTTTCCAGCAAGAGTGCGGTTTTGTGAGTGGTTGTTGCATCAACATGACAATAATCCGGACTTTTTGAAGTGCATATTGGTGACAGACGAATCTACGTTCACGCGTAATGGGGTGAATAACTTTCGCAACATTCATGTTTGGTCAGTAGAAAATCCGCACGCTGTCCGTCGGGCACATTTTCAACAAACATTTTCGGTGAATGTTTGGGCTGGCATGGTGAAATGCTCATTGGACCATTTATTCTCCAAAATCGATTGGACGGGATGCAGTACCTAGACTTTTTACGCAACATTTTGCCTTCCTTGTTTGCCTGCGTCTGCTCGGTAGCGCATCAGCTGATTTCATTTTCTGTTGGTGCGGTATGATTTCGGGCAGAGACGTACTTAGCCCTTCTCGTCAACTGGAGAGTGAGTACTTTTTCCTTTATTTTTTTTTCTTGGTCGCCCTCGTTTCACTACACATTACCTTTGTTATTTCAAGGGTAGTTGTTTCTGAAAAGGAAAACCCCAACTTTGCGGACACCCTGTATAATACGTATGTCATGCATTGCCACTGTCAAACCTTAGGTATTTCAAAACAAAGACGGAATTTCCTCAGCTGGACTTGAAATTATCAGATAGTCATTTGTTTCCTATTCTGTCTTTGCTCTATTGGCACACGAGGTCCGGGCCCCAGTGCCTCCAAATGTCAGAGAAACCTAATCATATTGTCCGAGTACATCCCTACATATTTTAAAATGGATGTTTGTTCACATCTGTGTTGGCAACTGTTACAGCCTATTCTGAAATGCAAATGTTGAATCTCCGCTTGAGGGTCACTCCAGGTTGCATTATTGTTCGTTTAAAATCTAAGTGTTGATCCACCTAGCTTTGAAAATCTCGAGAATTTTGAATAATTAGAGATCCTTGAAAAATTCGATATCTTGGAAATTTTTAAAATTTGACGATATAAAATATTATGAGGATCTTGAAAAATTCGAAGAAGTTGAAACTTTGAAGAATTTAAAATTAAAAAAAAACAAAACTGAAAATCCTGAATATTTCGGAAACCTATGATGAAAACTGATACTGCTTATTATGAAATGGAATTGTTGAATCTCCAAAGGAATATTATTGTCCGTTTAGAATCTAAGGTTTGATCAACCTAGCTTTGAAAATCTTGAGAATTTTGAAAATCATGAAATCCTTGAAAAATTCGATATATTGGAAATTTTGAAAATCGGACGATATCAATTATTATGAGGATCTCGAAGAAGTTGAAACTTCCAAGAATTTTATAAATTCCAGAAAAAAAAAACGAAAACTGAAAATCCTGAATATTTCGAAAACCTATGATGAAAACTGTTAAAGCCTATTATTAAATTCAAATGTTGAATCTCCACTTGAAACTCACTCAAGGGTACATTATTGTCCGTTTAAACTCTAAGGGTAGATCAACCTAGCTTTAAAAATGATGAGAATTTTGAAAATTAAGAAATCCTTGAAAAATTCGATATCTTGGAAATTTTGAAAATTGGGCGTTATCAAATATTATGAGGATCTTAAAAAATTTTAAGAAGTTGAAACTTTCAAGGATTTTAAAAATTCAAAAAAATGGAACTGAAAACCTTGAATATGTCGAATACCTATGATGACAACTGTTACAGCCTATTATTAAATTCAAATGTTGAATCTCCACTTGAATCTCACTCAACGTTATATTGTTGTCCGTTTAAAATGTAACGGTTGATCAACATAGCTTTGAAAATCTTGAGAATTTTGAAAATTTATGAAATCCTTGAATAATTCGATATCTTAGAAATTTTGAAAATTGAACGGTATCAAAAATTATGAGGATCTTGAAAAATTCGAAGAAGTTGAAACTTTCATAAATTTTGAAAATTACAAAAAAAAAACGGAAACTGAAAATCCTGAATTTTTCGAAAACCTGTGATGACAACTGTTACAGCCTATTATGAAATGCAAATGTTGAATCTCCACTTGAGGGTCACTCAAAGGAATATCCGTCCGTTTAAAATCTAAGGGTTGATCAACCTTAGCTTTGAAAATTTTGAGAATTAATAGAACCTTGAAAAATTCGATATCTTGAAAATTCTGAAAATTTGACGATATCATATATTATGAGGATCTCAAAAAATTTGAAGAAGCTGAAACTTTCAAGACCTTTAAAAACTCGAAAAAAAAAACGAAAACCGAAAATCCTGAATATCTCGAAATCCTATGAAAACTGTAACAGCCTATTATTGAATTCAAATGTTGAATCTCCTCTTGAAGCTCACTCAAGGGAGCATTATTTTCGATTTAAAATCTAAGGGTTGATCAACCTAGCTTATAAAATTTGACTAATTTTGAAAATTAAGAGATCCTTAAAAAATTCGATATCTTGAAAATTTTGAAAATTGGACAATATCAAATATTATGAGGATATTGGAAAATTCGAAGAAGTTGAAACTTTCAAGAATTTAAAAAATTACAAAAAAAAACGAAAACTGAAAATCCTGAATATTTCGGAAACCTATGATGAAAACTTTTGCAGCCTATTATGAAATGCAAATGTTGAATCTCCACTTGAGGGTCACTCAAAGGAATATTATTGTCTGTTTAAAATCTAAGGATTGATCAACGTAGCTTTGAAAATTTTGAGAATTTTGAAAATTAAGAGATCTTCGAACAATTCGATATCTTGCAAATTTTGAAAATTGGACGATATCAAATATTATGAGGATATTGGAAAATTCGAAGAAGTTGAAACTTTCAAGAATTTTAAAAATTACAAAAAAAAAACGAAAACTGAAAATCCTAAATATTTCGGAAACCTATGATGAAAACTCTTACAGCCTATTTTGATATCCAATGTTGAATCTCCACTTGAGGGTCACTCAAGGGTGCATTATTGTCCGTTTAAAATATAAGGGTTGATCAACCTAGCTTTGAAAATGTTGAGAATTTTGAAATTTATGAAATCCTTGAAAAATTCGATATCTTGGAAATTTTGAAAATTGGACATCAAATCTTATGGCGATCTTGAAAAATTTAAATAAGTTGAAACTTTCAAGAATTTTAAAAATTACAAAAAAACGAAAACTGAAAATTCTGAATATTTCGAAAACGTATGATGAAAACTGTTACAACCTATTATAATATGCAAATGTTGAATCTCAACTTAAGGGTCACTCAAGGGTGCATTATTGTCCGTTTAAAATATAAGGGTTGATCAACCTAGCCTTGAAAATCTTGAGAATTTTGAAATTTATGAAATTCTTGAAAAAATCTTGGAAATTTTGAAAATTGGACGATATCAAATATTATGAGGATCTTGAAAAATTTGAAGAAAATGAAACTTTCAAGAATTTAAAAAATAACAAAAAAAAAAAAGAAAACTGGAAATCCTCAGTAATTCGAAGACCTTGACCGTTTGGTCCTTACGGGCCGACTGTAAGTGTGGGTTGCAATTCGCATCTACAACGGAGTCATCACTATGACCGCTTGATGCTGCCGATTCTCGCGATACGGTAGACATTGGATTTCCCACCAATCAAAACTACTGATACTCACTTTGAGTGGTGACGAAAATTGTCGAGTGGGATGGACTCCAGTCGAAATCCTCCACAGAGTGCATAGCCACAAACATGTCCACCATGGGGTCCGAGATCCCTTCTGCCCATAACCTGGTGTGCCAGTCATCGCCACATGTGGCAAAAATCTGGGGACAGAACGGCGAGAATTTCATAGCGTTGATGGGCCCTTCGTGGGCCAGGAATAAGTCCAAATGTTGGTTCAGATAGTTGACTGAGCATTTGTGGATGACACCTTGGTTGGTTCCGACGAAGTAGGTGCTGGTGTGGAGTGGGTGGTATCTCAGGAAGTACGCGGCATCGTACCTATAGGTTATACGAGGGTTGTATGAAAGTCTGGCGATGATCGAAACGGTGTAATGGGAATATATATATATATATATATATATATATATATATAGGGTGTTTCAGTTTATTGTTGCATAACTTTAAGATTCGATAGGACTTTTAAAATTAATGCATAAAGTCTATATAAACATGGGTCGAAAAATGCGTGGCTTTCCGAAATACATGGTGTTTAAATTTACTTTCTAAAATAGTTTTTTTTTTAAATATTTCGAACAATATTTGATGTATAACAGTGAAAATTGGTATACAAGGGTTTTTTGGTACGACAAAACGAACCATGGGCATAGTTTTACTGTAGCCGCTAAAGGGCGCTCTCTACTGAAGCTCTCTTGTGCATTTTCGATATAGTTAGCCGTTTTTGAGATATACCCGTATGATTCTGCGTGAGTTTGATAGAGATCCGACCACAAGTGTTAGGAGAGTTTCTGGTGCCTTGGGAATTTCAGCAAGCCATGTTCACCGTGTTCTTAAAAATGACCATAGACGTCCTCACTATTTGCAACCTGTGCAAGGACTACAGCCAGGGGACGGAGAACGAAGAATCACATTTTGTCAGTGGATTCTTGATAGAACTGATAATAATAGGGAGTTTTTAAGTAACGTTTTATGGACCGATGAGTCATGCTTCACTAGACGTGGAGTGGTAAATTTTCATAATCAACATATTTGGTCGTATGAAAATCCGCATGCAGTTCGGGAAAGAAATTTTCAGCATGAATTTAGTGTGAACGTGTGGATTGGTATCTACCGTAATCGACTATTTGGAACCTACCTTTTGCCTGCAAGGTTAAATGCTTCGACCTTCTTGGAATTTTTAAAGGCTGAACATGCAAATATGTGGGATGATGTTATGTTAGATTTAAGAAGATTGGCCTGGTTCCAGCTTGATGGTAGTCCAGCTCATTATTCGAGAATAGTTAGAAACTGGCTGGACGAAAATTATCCAGAAAGATGGATCGGCCGTGGAGGACCAGTCGCCTGGCCTCCACGATCCCCTGACCTAAATCCATTAGATTTCTTTGTGTGGGGATTTCTAAAAGAAAAAGTGTACCAGACTCCCGTAACCACAAGAGATATGCTAATAGACAGAATCAGGAATGCATGTGATGAAGTAAGGCCTTATTTGAATATTGCTGTACCACGTTCGATCATTCGTAGATGTGAATTGTGTATTGAACAATTACATTTCGAGCAACTACTTCAGATTTTGTATGTTTGTCCTAAGTATCCAATAGCATTTTAGTTGTAAATAATTAATTTAATTTGTTAAAAATAATATTGGAAAATTAAACAAATTAATATTCTGTTTTTTTGTGTTTATTTGGAGTTAGGAATTATTGCTGTGTTTAAAAACACAATCTAAACGATCATCTTAATTACTTGTAATGCCCAAATCGAAAATGTAAAAAAAATATTATTTTCCCATAAATAATGAAAAATGCATCGAACCTTAAAAATCGAAATATCTCAAAAACGGCTAACTATAACGAAAACTCACAGGAGAGCTTTTTTATGTTGAAAAGTGCGAAGAATCAGTTTTTTTATTCAAAAAGCAAAAAATTGCACTAAGAAAAATTTTTCGTTCATTTTAATACACTACAGGTACAGTAGAGAGCGTCCTCTAGCGGCTACAGTAAAACTATGCCCATGGTTCGTTTTGTCGTACCAAAAAACCGTTGTATACCAATTTTCACTGTTATACATCAAATATTGTTCGAAATATTTAAAAAAAAAACTATTTTAGAAAGTAAATTTAAACACCCTGTATTTCGGAAGCCACGCATTTTTCGACCCATGTTTATATAGACTTTATGCATTAATTTCAAAAGTTCTATAGGGTGTTTTATAATTGAATGTCAATAAGAACCATATACAATTGATGAGTTTTTCAAGACAGATTTAAATAATATGATGTATAGCAAGTTTTTGTCGTTAATTTTGTTTGCTTGGTACTTTATTATCGTTATTGTTATTATTAATATAACGAGGCGATTTTCCGGTGTACTTTAAGGAGAAAGCTTCATATGAATGTTTGTCCTGAATGTCTTCCACCCTGTATCTTTTGAGTTACAGGGTTGTAAAGTTTTAAAAAAATATTATTTATCTGTGAATTATTGTATATATTTGAGTGAAATTTGGCATATATCAAGAGGCATTTTTAATGTAATTTTTTTTAAATTTCAAAAATATTGTACATTTTAATCAATCCTAGAGTGATTAATGTCACAAACGAAACTTGTCATCTGATTGATGCGCCTGGAGAAAATACTTTCTTTTATATAACTGTTAAATCGTGATATTAAAAAAAATATTAATTGGTCAAGTGATAATAAACTTAAACGCTAATACAACAAAATGTTTGTCAATAGGGAAACATTTAGGTTACAATACAATTAGGCTCGTGATTTATGATAAAAAAATTGAAGTAGTCGAATCTTTCAAATATTTGGGTGTATATGTGGATAGTAAAGTACTGCTCTAAGAGCATTATGATAACATTATTTCAAAAAATATCGAAAAAGATAAATCACTTCTATAGAGTTTCCCATAATTCCAGTATGTATTAAAAAAAATATATATACAGGGTGTCCGCAAAGTTGGGGTTTTCCTTTTCAGAAACAAGTACCCTTGAAATAACAAAGGTAATGTGTAGTGAAACGAGGGCGACCAAGTAAAAAAAAAATAAAGGAAAAAGTACTCACTCTCTAGTTGACGAGAAGGGCTAAGTACGTCTCTGCCCGAAATCATACCGCTCCAACAGAAAATGAAATCAGCTGATGCGCTACCGAGCAGACGCCGGCGGTGGTGCAGACCACGAATAGAGGTAACAAATATGACACATCACATTGATTGTCTTACACTTAATGGCACATCTTCTAACAAGGAAGGCAAAATGTTGCGTAAAAAGTCTAGGTATTGCATCCCGTCCAATCGATTTGGGAGAATAAATGGTCCAATGAGCATACCGTTCACCATGCCAGCCCAAACATTTACCGAAAATGTTTGTTGAAAATGTGCCCGACGGACAGCGTGCGGATTTTCTACTGACCAAACATGAGTGTTGCGAAAGTTATTCACCCCATTACGCGTGAACGTAGATTCGTCTGTCACCAATATGCACTTCAAAAAGTCCGGAATTATTGTCATGTTGATGCAACAACCACTCACAAAACCGCACTCTTGCTGGAAAGTCGTCAGGTTGAAGGGCTTGTACACATTGGACGTGAAACGGATACAGCCCCTCTTCACGCAGCGTTTGCTACACTTTAGTTTTTGATAGTTGCACTTCTCTAGCCACGTCTCTAGTGCTTGTTGTTTTTTGAAACGCAATCGATTATACGGGTTCGTTTACCTCTACACGCGTGACCGTAACCGTCGGTTGAAGGTTGCATACTGACCTGACACACTGACCCCGACCCAGTTCTGTCGTCGGGTTGAGCTAGTGTCCTAGTACCAGTCGGGGATGTCGCGAGTCGCGGCTACAGGACGGTATTCAGATATTTTTGATGTTGCAGAGCCCTTTATCTCGGTTCCCTTAAGACATTGGTATAAGAAAAATTGCTTATGTTTTCAAGATGTAAAGGAAAACCCCAACTTTGCGGACACCCTGTATATATATAACACTATAATTCTTCCTCATTTTTATATTGTTCTACCATTTTCTTTACAGCAAATGAAAACATATTTTCAAAATTAGGTATCCTACAAAATAAGGCTATGAGAATCACTTTAAACAAACACAAATACGCTAAGATTAAGTCTGTGTTAGAAGAACTGCAGTGATTGAATATAAAAAAATTAATATTTCTTATGAAACTTGAGGCACTACATCTGCAAAATTGTAATAGTATCATAACTAGTAAATCTGTATTTAAAAAGGGTGCATTTGAATTTAATAAATCGAATAATGATATGCAACAGTGTTCGAATTTAAAAACTGCTTAAGGTGAAATTAAAAAATCATTTTATAAATATCCAAAATGCATAGCGATGTAATTTTAACAGATAATCTAATATTACAGAAAATTGATTAAAAAAATGCTAAAAGAATAATTATACAAAATTGACATTGTAGAATGAATGCTAAATAATCTTCAACAAACAAACAAAAGTAGCGGCGTTATATCTTAAACTGACCTGGTAACAGGAATAACCAGATTCGTACATTTCTTAGTAGCCTTATAACCTTTCAGTTTTCCATCAGCTTTTGCTACTCGCATCAACTGGAATGGTTCCAGCTTCTTTTGGATAGAGTAAGCGCAAATCTTGCCATCGTCAAATGTGGCACATACCTAGAGATGTTAATTGTTAATACTTGTACTTATTTTTTGTCATTTGTAAAAAATGTCGACATCCTCCGATACTTCACCCAAACAATGGGTCAAGTAAATTGACTCATTCTTTTCCATTCATCGAGATAAATATATATTGGATTACACACGTATGAACTCTTAGATATTTTTTTGTGCTGCAGCAAATTACCCGATGGACTTGAGATATGTCAGAAACAACATTTTTTGGAAATATTAAGTGATAATTGTTATTTCATTTCGTATCCGCAACCGCCTTGCATTCAAAAACCAAGGTACAAAGAACCTCACGTTGATGTCTCATATCTAACGATTAATCTTGTTTTGGCGGAATAACATTGGCGCCCAACGTTGAGCCGATTTCTAATACAAAAACCACCACGCCCCTATAAATCCGCAACTGTGCGTGTGAAAATATTTCACAAAATCGGGCAGTGGGCCGTAGAATTCCTACACCAGAGCACCGGAAATAGCCCCAAGTCACCTTCAGCTCGCATATTTACGGTCAACAGAAATCATGAAAAATGACCTCCAACGAGATGGAGAGTAGAGTACGATTTTCAACCACAAAATTATTAGACCAGGAGAAGTGTTTTATTACTAAAAATAAAATTCGACATTTTTAAGCACGGTTATAAAAATATTATTCTAAATAAAAAGTTGTAATAATTAACTTTATCAAGATGTAGTTAACCTTCAGTCGACCATAAAAAGAAACTGTAACAAGTAGTTACAAATTCGGCCGACAAATCCGACAAAATTTGGAATGTTATTTTGCCAAAATTCCTTCAACTGTTATTCGTCTATAGATGTGGGCAGTACTGATAGTAAATAGTGATATACAGGGTATTAAACATTTGATCATGTTAAGGATACACAATACTCTCATAGTAAAAGCCTGATGTATTGAAGTGTCTTTTGTATCTTTACACATACCACTTCTTCTTCGCCTTGCGTCTGTCCGTAGTTCCAACATAAGCTCCAGCATGGTTCAAACGGAGTCACGTTTTCTCCAATGATCATCTTTTCCCTACTGGCGACGTTTAATACAATGACAGTTCCGTCATAGAAGCCTACGGCTAACAGCATGGGGTTTTCTTTCGAAAAACTCACTGCTGTCACAGGTGGAGTGAAATTGTACTGTCTTTCTGGTTGAACAGGATTTTTTATGCTCCATATTAGCACTAATCCAGTCACCTGATCTGCAACGAAATAGATATTACATTCCTTGGTGAAGAAGTATGCCATTATTGTACGAGCACTTTCGAGATGCATAACGCCAAGCAATATAATTCGCGAGGACTTTAATGACCCTCTCTACCGAGGTATGTATCGATTTTTTCCACTACTTAGATATTTTCTGAACGTCCGGCAACAATGTTCGAATAGGGCACGCGCAATGTCTGCATCACAGTACAGTGTTTAGGAAAGGGACGCTGCTGCTACATGCTAGGGTCCGACAAAGATACGTACCTCGACACAGTATTCGTTTCCCATTTATTTTCAAATACTCCGATTTATCACCTAGCATGGGACTTTCAAGCTCTCAAAATAATGTAAAAATATCCTTGACAAGGTAGGTATAAATGAAATTGAGACAAAAATTGATAGTGATATGCAATCAAACAAAAAATGGTGACGAAAATTGCTTAACTTTCAATGACAATAATACAAACTTTATGACATTTACATGCTCCTTTGGTTCCTCAGAATTACATTTATCTCAGTAGGTAAATAATAAATGCATTGATCTAGATCTAGAGATTTTTTGACACAGAATTGTTGTATCAGTATTGATCTAGGAGTCATTCTTATTTGTTGAAGAATACAGAGTTTTAAAACCCTTTATCCATTTTTTAGTCTCAGCAATGATTATTTATGGATTACAAGAAGTAACTACAGGGTCTATTTTATCACTGAAATTATTGTTGATCTTAAATTAGTAGTACCTAAATCAACACTTGAACGTCTCAAAAATGTATAGTGCTCTGAAAACTTACAAGTATCTCCTTGATGCTCTCAAAAGATTTAAAGATATTTTTTTAAAAGTTCAGTTTTAAGTCAACTTTGTCAATGGAAATTTTCTCGAATAAGCGCATTTGTAGCTTTTTGTCTATCCTGCGCAGAAACTAGGGTGTCCAGTGGAAAAGTTCACATTTCAAATAATTTGAATTACGCGGCAACTGTATACGCGAGGAAGTGGGGAGAGGTCTTGGTCGACGTGTTCGGCGTGCGGGTTAAATAGTCACAATGGAACGTTGGACCGGAGCGTAATGAGCTTTTGCTATCGAGGCTTACTTTAAGAGTGCTGATTCTTGCGCAGCTGTATTTCGGAAAAAGTGGATTAAGGGTTCCATGAAACAGGCTCTACTCTTAGTCAACCCATGCCTGGCCCCACAACTACTGTATCAACCGAAGAAAATGTGCGTCGAGTAAGTGATTCGGTCATGCATTGACAGTCAATTCCGAGCGATACAAGGACATGATTGAAACTTTTTTTGCTCCTATTGTAAGGACAGAACGTCGATTTAACAGAAACATATGATTTCAACAGGATGGGGCTACTGCCCATACTTTCAGAGAATCGATAGACACGGTGAAAGCAATTTTTTTGAGGGTTTATCTAAAGTCAAAAGTGTATTCCAATAATCCACGAACACTGGACGAGCTTAAAGACAACATTCGACGAGAAATAAATAACATCACTCCGGAACTCTGCAAGTTTTTCAGAATTTGCACGCGCGATTAGAAGGGATGGCAAACATGTGGATGAAATGATATTGTAGCGTTTTTCTGGGTTCTTTTGGGTGTGAATAAAACACTGGATTCCACAAAAAGAAATGAACTAATTTATTTAACTGGATAAAACATTTATATGCACCACTATTCATGTCTGACTAATTCTTATGTCACCATTGACTGCACTATAGTTCTCTTCGCTCTGCTACTCCACCGTATTCCGTACTCTGCCTCCATCTCCCGGCCGCCGAGTTATATATAGTCCCCATCTAGAATGTTGGAGATCACTTCGCGTCGATCTAGAAGGCGATCCACTGTCACGGCTCTGGCGAGTAGGAGACTCGCCCAACAGATGGCGCTATTCGTCACAATATTTAAGAAGTAAAACCCGCCGAATTTACGAATATGTTGATAGTAATAAATATTTTCTTTTCTTTAAGTTTGTATTTTTTTCTTAAATCAAAAAGTGAACTTTCCCACTGGAAATCTGATTACTTAAAAGGTAAGTTTTTCATAATTATGGATCCTTTATTTGCCCACCAATTTCTTTTACAGGCTTTGTTGAATATGTACCTACATGAACTGGACTAATTTTTCACTGAAATATTTTCCCACGACACATTATTTATCCTGTAAAGCTGGTTTGGAAGAACAAAAGATAATTCCAGAAAAATAGTACAGTCTTAAAAGTAGCTATTTTCTACAAATTCTTAAAAATGGCGATAACACTAAAACCGTGCTCAATCTAATAGGAAAATATATGATATTTTGATACACGACTTTTCGTACGCCCTGTATATGTATGGATAGATACATTTTTCAATACTGTCGCAATAGCATACACACCTGCAAAGTAAAACTTTCCATATCCTACCGCTAGAAGGTCTTTATTTTTCGGGTTCCAATCTAGAGAATTGACGCTTTTGCCTTTGGTATATTCATTTGCGAATGTCCAGAGATGTTTGAGTCTATAGTTGTATTCGATTTTTTCCCTAAAATCGTCGGATACTGTGAGGCATCTGAATATTTTCTGTTCTTCGTGGAAACAATTACTGGCTAGTAGTCTTTCGATGACGCAAACCGCCTCTAAAAACCTAAAATAGTGGAATAAAAAATACAGGGTGTTATAGAGTATTGCTCAGAAAAAAGGGGACAAAAAAAGTTACATATAGTTGTAGTCACCGTTCTTGACGGTTACGTCATCAACGCCATATGAAATAAGTAAACAGATCGAGTCTCCGTACCATGGGCAGACTAATCTTCAGCGCGTCTGCTACTCTTTCCAGTACGCATGAAGTGGGTAACAGGGGACCGCTGTCTTAATTCTCTTCCTGGAAATACTCTAATGTCGGCCTTCTCCATTGATAAAATGTCAAAATCGGTCAAATTTATTTATTTTGAATGCCCCATATTTTACTGCATATTTTGATGATTACTTGTCAAGTTATAAGTGAATGACAGTTGCCAGTCCACCATTTTAAGATATCGTACGATCCCTGAATCTATTCAAAAAATGTTATAAGCAGCCATCTTGAAATTTCCACTGATTATTTTTTAATCTAAATAAAAATTTCACGCATCAGTGTCGTCACCTTGAATTTTTAACGCGTTCAAAAAATAAGTACAGCGGGCATTCTGAAAATCTCGGTTTAAACACCTTGTACGAGTACATTGGTCTGCGAGGCCTCCTGATTTTGACCCCCTGGATTTCTTTTTGTGGGGCGGTTTTAGAAACTAGTGTATGCTGAACAAATTAATACTGTTGATCAGTCACAAGAAAAAATAGATGATGAGTTTATTGAAATTCAAGCCACAAAAAATTCTTTTTTTTAACATTTATTGAAATAAAACTTTGATTATCTAATTTGTTTCTATTTTTTATTTTGAAGGAAACAATGCACTCCAGGAAAAAACACAAGAGTGATAATTTGTAGCATATTGAAATGTAAAATTTGAAAAATTGCGCGTTTCGAAAAAAAAACTTTTTAATGCTACCGAATAAAGTTCTATTTTTTAGGGTTTATCCGAGTTTGTTATGAAATATGGAACATTCATTTTGCAAAAAATGTCAAAATCAGTCAAATTTATTTGAATGCCCCATATTTGACTGCATTAGTTGTCAAGTTATAAGCGAATGACAGTTGACAGTCCGTCATTTTGAAGTATCATACGATCCCTCAATCTACTCAAAAATATGTTATAAGTAGCCATTTTGGTATGTTCAACTGTTACATTCTAATTAAAATAAAATATTCACGCATCAATGTCACCATGAATTTTTAACGTTTTCAAAAAATAAGTACAGCGGGTGTTACGCCAATGGTCATTTGGCGCGCGCGCCACTGTGTACCAGCCACAACCACTGCGCAAGCGCTGCCTGGCAGTTTTTGAATCCCAGCCAATGGGGACGGAGACGCGGGGACATCGAAACGCCGAGACCAGGACAACAGGTGTCGACAGAACGCATATCATTTTGTACAAGAAAAATTTGTATTATCAATCAATCATTTTTCTAATAATATACAGTCCACTCTACAAATTGCAACAACCTTTCTAAGACTGGAACGGATGTGTCCTTGCCGCACATAACAGCGGGCATTCTGAAAATATGGTTATTAAAAAAAATTGTATCAAAACTCATCTTGTATTATGGAAACGAACTTATTTTATATTTTAAAAAGCTAGATCTGCCCATCATTTATCAGGATTATAAATACAGCTTTGGGTACGTCGGTCCAAAACTTTTGTCCATATCTTGAACATGTACCATCCAAATTGGATTCAAACTTTGTGGAGCATGAATGTAAGTAGTTGAACGTCTGTTCTATCTTTGATACCTGGAATTTTTCATAAGTTTATGTAATTGCTTTTCTTCAGTCGATAACCTGAAGCTGTCCAAGGAGGATATCTCGTTCAGCTTATGACCAATCGCTTCTCCTATTTCACTCTCTGCGCTACTATCGTCAGATTCCTCCTCACTATCCTGGCGGTCTTTGTAAGTGTCGTACATTTCCCACACTGAACAGTATGATGAACCTGAAGCAGGTGTCATTTTCGATTCATTCATTTATATTCTTCCAAATCTGTCTAAAATACCAGTACTCACCAGCCTTGGTCTTGTTTCTCTGATAATCCGTAGTACGCGTCTTCACAATAATAGGCTTAGTTTGTACTTCAGCATGTAACATTTTCCTGTTTCTGCCTTTTCCTACTGTCAAATATTCGTAAGCTTCATTGTCAGCTTCTACCCGATTTCCTTCGTCAGTATCTCTGACAGCTGTGGCGCTCGGTATTTCAAGAAGGAACACCTGTTGACCGCAACATCGATAAATAAGGTTAAGATTCGGAGACGCATAAATAAGCTTAAAATATATATTTCGTATTTTGAATAGGTTGTTACAACATGACATTCAAACGTGTCTACTACCACCCTCTCAGTTCCAAACACTGATAACGCAAAATATTTTTGTTTCGTAAAATTATTTATATGAAGCTTGTTGATACTATTCTAGGACGCAAGAGCTACGTTTTTTCTTATGATACAAAAAAGCAAAAGCGATGTCTCAAATATTACTAACGCATCCGCTGGAATTTCCGCCAGCCCGCGGTGAAATATACGCCGCACGCCTATGTGGTCGGCACGGTGAGTCAGTTTGCTGCTCTCATCGGGCGGTTGCACGGACGAGTCGTGTTTAGCGGTGAACGTAGTATTCAATTAATTGGCGCGATTTGAACTCACCAGCATTTTAAAATATTTATGACTATTATGTGTAACAGATGCGTAATATTACGGGATTCTTAATAAACGAGATTTAAGCAACGATATTTTTTGTTTTAGTTTTTTTTCCGCAGCTCCGTTGTCACTGGATCGATTTTCAAAACCTACAAAGCGTTTTACCTCTCACGCTTACTGGTGGGGAAGTATTTTAATCGGGGAAAATTTCGGAAATGCGATTATACAGGGTGTCCGCAAAGTTGGGGTTTTCCTTTACACGACGTGTAGATCTTGAAAACATAAGCAATTTTTCTTAGTACCATATACACCAATGTCTTAAGGGAACCGAGATAAAGGGCTCTGCAACATCAAAAATATCTGAATACCGTCCTGTAGCCGCGACCCGCGACACCACCGAGTGGTACAAGGTCACTGGCTCAACCCGACGACAGAACTGGGTCGAGGTCAGTGTGTCAGGTCAGTATGCAACCTTCAACCGACGGTTACGGTCACGCGTGTAGAGGTAAACGAACCCGTATAATCGATTGCGTTTCAAAAAAAATAATAATAATGGCACACTCATACACCAATAATGAACTCGTTGATATGTTGTTAATTTATGGCGAATGTCTTCAAAATGCTACAGAGGCTTCGCGAGTGTATGCAGATCGTTTCCCTAGACGACATCCTCCAAGGCCCGCAGATTTGTGTACCTGGTCCAGAGAGTCAGGGATACGGGCCATTTGGAGGAATTTCGAGGTGGGCTCAGTGGGAGGCCTTGACAACCACGAATGGTGCAAGTTGAGGAAGAACTACTGAATCGCGTAGACGAGAATCCCTCAACAAGCACTAGAGACGTGGCTAGAGAAGTGCAAGTATCAAAAGCTAAAGTGTGGCAAACGCTGCGTGAAGAGGGGCTGTATCCGTTTCACGTCCAACGTGTACAAGCCCTTACCTGACGATTTTCCAGCAAGAGTGCGGTTTTGTGAGTGGTTGTTGCATCAACATGACAATAATCCGGACTTTTTGAAGTGCATATTGGTGACAGACGAATCTACGTTCACGCGTAATGGGGTGAATAACTTTCGCAACACTCGTGTTTGGTCAGTAGAAAATCCGCACGCTGTCCGTCGGGCACATTTTCAACAAACATTTTCGCTGAATGTTTGGGCTGGCATGGTGATTGGACCATTTATTCTCCCAAATCGATTGGACGGGATGCAATACCTAGACTTTTTACGCAACATTTTGCCTTCCTTGTTAGAAGATGTGCCATTAAGTGTAAGACAATCAATGTGGTTTCTGCACGATGGTGCACCGCCCCATTTTAGACGCGAAGTGCGTGAGTTTTTGAATGAATTATTTCCGAATAGGTGGATCGGACGTAATGGACCCGTAGCGTAGCCTCCGCGATCTCCAGACTTAACACCATGTGATTTTTTTCTTTGGGGAGAAATGAAACGTTTAGTGTACAAAACTGAAGTGCATACGGTTGACGAACTTCGTCTCAGAATTGAACAAGCTGGTGCTTTCATTCGGGGGAGGGACTCCATTCTCAAAGCCTGCACCGATGCTTGGCTACGTCGTGCACGCACCTGTGTTTTTGAATCAAAGGGCGATAACTTCGAACAATACCTATAAAGTACGTTTACCTAAAAACTGAAAACGCAGCAACGCCGTCATATTTGTTACCTCTGTTCGTGGTCTGCATCACCGGCTGCGTCTGCTCGGTAGCGCATCAGCTGATTTCATTTTCTGTTGGAGCGGTATGATTTCGGGCAGAGACGTACTTAGCCCTTCTCGTCAACTGGTAGAGTGAGTACTTTTTTCTTTATTTTTTTTTACTTGGTCGCCCTCGTTTCACTACACATTACCTTTGTTATTTCAAGGGTAGTTGTTTCTGAAAAGGACAACCCCAATTTTGCGGACACCCTGTATATTCTTTGGATTTCCGTCGGTTTGTCTGTCTGTCCACAAATCCTTGGTCCATCTGTACCTTGGAAAGTCAGATTTCAATGAATTTTCCATACAAGGTTACTACTTTTCCAAAGACAAAAAGCTTTGTAGTTTTGAAAGAAAACGAAAAAATAAAAAATTGCTCAAACTTTTTGAAAAAAATTTTAGAGTAAAAAAGTGGGGGCTGCCACGTGGTTGTAAATATTGCATCTTTGGTAGTGGATTCGAGGGACTTATAAAAGCAGGTAGAAGACGGCGCGGTGACGCGATATGCAAATACGAGGTGGGCGCGATATTATCTGTCTATATTAACTTACCGTGTTGGTCTCGCAAAGCGTCAGAGTGACCCTTACCGGCAGCTTCTTCATGACTTCTTCAGCACCTTTTCTCTGCGCGGGTAAAGCACCAGTTTCGCCAGCTTCTGTGGTCTCGCCGTGAGACGCACTCGGATGAGCTTCTTCTTTATCTGTCAAACTTCCTACAGCTGTCAAACTGGCGAGGTGCGTGCTACTGTGGAGACTGCCTCGAAATGGTTGGATCGAACTTTCCAATATTGTGCTTTCTCTTAGTTCGCTTTTGAACCTGCCAGGAATAAATTTAAAAATCGTGCTGATCAATTCCATTCTCCGAAGCGAGAGGGTTTCATATTTTAGCTTACCACGCCTACTGGTGAGGAAGCATTGTAATTGCAAAAAATCGATACATACAAGAATGATATAAGTGATTTCCGTCGGTCTTTTAGTCTGTCAGTTTGTCTGTATGTCATCCAATCCTTGGGTCGTTGGAAAGTACCGGTCGGATTGTGGTGAAATTTTCACACTGAGTTACTATTAAACAAAGTAGGAAAAAGCTTTGTAGTTTTTGAAAATCGTTCCAGTGGCGGTGGAGGAAAAGCAAAACACGGAAAAATGAAACGCGCTTAAACTCCGTTTTTTGACGTTTCAGATGGTAATGACCATTTTTGAAAAATTCTTCAGCGGTGGGGGGTTGTAGGGGATGGGGGAGGGTATACCTCTGGCCGCAACATATCCGCCGTAATTGACTGGTTGACCAGGCAAGGTCAATGCAGGTCGGTCTTGGCTCCGACTTTGTTTCTATTACGTATTACACGATCCACAGTTTTACTGAAGGCAGTGCTCTTCATGCAGGGATTCAGAGTGCCAATCCGATTTTTGCCGGTGACCTGTAGAGAAGAAGACTTGCAGCGACTTCCTCTTTGACGAGAGATCTGGAGGTTGTTACAGCTTGGTGACGTACCAATCTAGTATAGATTAATGCTTCTAAGACAGAGTGTTTTTCTAGACAAAGAAAAGTTTTTATAGTCACTCTCGGGAAGAGAAGCTCGACACTGTCTTATCGGCCTTTTCTGCCCGAAGTGTGAGATTCTCCACAATGCGGGATACTCACTAAGGGCCGTATCGTCAGTCGTTTATACAATTGTAGGGCACCTTGATTGTCATAGTCTTTTCTCTCCTTCAGAAAGGCTGGGGTATTTCTAGATTTCACCTGATCTGTGTCAGCGTCAGCTCTCTCTTATTGTTATGTTTTCTTTTTGAATTGTAGGAAATTTCAGGTTGATAATACAGGTATATAAATTAAAAGCATGAACAATTTGATGCAAATAGATATTTGTGACATAACCTCTAAATAGAGCGCTGACACGGAACACTAAAAAATCAAGGAGGCCATAAAGGCGTCCTAATTGTAGGAATGACTGACGGTACGGCCCTAAGATCCCTCGTTCCCTATTCATCCCAACACGGTAATGCCTGCAGCATTTCGTCATGGTGGGTAACGTTGCGTTAAATATTCATACCAAAGGTATTCATCATCCTATTCTCATCGTCGTACGTTTAACTTGCTTCAAGACAGATCGTCGACAATAATCGGGTTGAGACTCTAAATACCTATTAGTAAAGCCGACAACGCCATTTGGGTTATGTGCTATTCCATACTATTCATGATTCAATATAGAAATGATCTAAAAAAAATCTTGCGTGCATTTTCTGGGACTCCTTTTCTCCGGTAAATCTGGGCTCATTTTCTGTTTCTCACAAACCTGACTATAGAATAAGATTTCTGGGCCGTCAGAGACTGAATAGTAGATCGTCTAACTTCCGGTCTCTCATGTTCATAGATGCTCAACTGCCTTTCTTTTCCACAGCTGTATATGTCTGGATTCAGCGGCCTAGGAGTTACGTCTTTCCCATCAATTATTATTCTCAAGAATGTATCAGTTTTCCTTTTTGTGGACAGAATTGTCTTGCCCTGCTTGGTGCCGGGCGTAAATGAAGCTTGGTTGTACGATTTCAACTGCATCCGATATTCGTCCATGTTTGATAACGGTTTGGTCAGTGGGTCAAATTGATACAGCTTTGACAATAGTTGTCAAGTCAAATGATCTGTTTGATTTCATTGACAGGGCAGTTGTGTTTAGTGCTTAGTAGAGCGTACTTAGTCTCGTATATGTATATACAGGGTGGTGCATATATTTATTGATTTACAGTCAGTTCCTATATACAGGGTGTCCCAGAAGTCGACGTCAAGCCGAAACCGGGTGATAGGCAAAGTCATAACAGCTATCAGAAAGATATTTAAAAAAAATTTTATGTATGTGTTTTGAAAATTATAGGTCTTTGAAGTAGATATAGAAATTTCACACCCTACGGCAGTCTGTCAACTCCTGTTACTACAAATATTAACTTTTTTTGAATTTCATTTTTACAATGTAATGATGAATAATGCATCTTCAAACTGGTGTCTCAACCTTACTGCCAACTTTTCTCGTTCAGAAAAAATTGCCACTTATTTCCCAACCAAGTATTCCAAAGTAAAACTTTGCTCAACTTTAACTGGCTGTACTGGAAAAAAATGTACTACGAGAGTTTGGCAAGTAACCTTAAAAGTTGGCGCATTTAATAACGATTCCAAAATGGTATAACACTTAGAAGATTACTGGTTAACTTATGCACAATTTTTATTTGAAGAAAAACTGATGAAAATTTTTCAAAATTTCCTAATCAAACAGCGATTATGAAAACGCACAAGGACCCTTAAGGATAACTGTTTGCACAATAGTGGGCGTCAAAATGCTGCTGATGATGATTTACCTTTACAGCAAATGCTCAAACTGTTTTCCTTCAGCCGCAATACACACTCGACATCTTCTTAAAAAAGATCGGGTTATTAAACGAGCGAATCCACGGTTATTAACAAACTCAGCTGCTTCCAATAGTCTTTGCCGTAGCTCAGCTACATTTTGAATCGGCTTGAAATACACTTTTTCTTTTACAGTTCCCCAGTAAAAAAATCTAACGGATTCAAATCAGGTGATCGGGCTGGCCACGGTATTGTACCAGACCGCCTTATCCATCTGCCTGGAAAGTTTTGATCGAGATACTCTCTCACTGAGAGTGCATAGTGCGCTGGGCAGCCATCATGCTGAAACCACATGTCCCTGTAAATACACAGTGGCACGTCCACCAATAAATTTTGTACATGATTTTTCAAAAAATCCAAATAAACTTCATCAAATGTGGGATTGCTACGTGCCACTCGTGTAAGTTATGCAGGTTCATGTACCCATCTTTCTTAAATGTGGTCTCATCCGACCATAAAATTTTTTCAAAGAACTGTGGATCTTTCCTGTGTCTTTCTAACATTGTGCGACAAAAAGCAATTCGGGGCTCATAATCCCGGGGCAGGAGAGGTTGAACACGCTGTATGTGGTATGGATGAAGCACATCACTTACTTGCCATTGCACACTTTGATACCGATCAGTACTCCTTCGTTTACTGCGCATCTTTACATGTTCGTGCTTGTTGATTTCGTACTGTTACTAATTTTGTATTCGTGAACTGGACTGTTGATCGCTTGTGATTTGGATTTGGACTGTTTAATTGCTCTTCATTTGCTTTCCTTAGACTATCTTTGACAGTGTGATTGTACAGTGCCGCTATGTCCGTGTACACCGTACAAGAATATGCACCTCATTTATGGGGAATGCAAATGCAACGCTAGTGCTGCAGCGAGACTTTACTGTGAGAGGTACCCGAATGCAGCTCGTCATCCAGATCATCGAGTGTTCACAAATGTGCACCGCTTACTGTTCTCAGAGGGCCAACTACCAAACCAATCACACGGTGAGGGAAGATCTTTCCTTCCTTACGAAGACGTGGTGCTAGGAGCTGTCGAAGAAGACTCGAGTACTTCAGTGCGTGCAATAGAACTAAAAACAGGTGTGCCCAAAAGTACAGCCCATAGAATCTTGCAAAAAAACGTGCTCCATCCATACCACGTACAGCGTGTTCAAGCTTTTCTGCCCCGGGATTATGAGCCCCGAGTTGCTTTTTGTCGCACAATGTTAGAAAGACACAAGGAAGATCCACGGTTCTTTGAAAAAATTTTATGGTCAGATGAGATCACATTTAAGAAAGATGGGTACATGAACCTGCATAACTTACACGAGTGGCACGTAGCAAACCCACATTCGATGAGAGAAGATAAATCTCAATATCGCTTCAAGATAAACCATTGGACAGGAATTTTAAATGGTAAAATAATCGGTCCGTTTGAGTTCCCAGAGACTTTGACTGCTGAGGTTTATTTAGGTTTTTTGCAAAATCATTTAGAAAATTTATTGGAGGACGTGCCACTGAGTATTTACAGTGACATGTGGTTTCAGCATGATGGCTGTCCAGCGCACTGTGCACTCTCAGTGAGAGAGTATCTCGATCAAAACTTTCCAGGCAGATGGATAGGGCGGTCTGGTACAATACCGTGGCCAGCCCGGTCACCAGATTTGAATCCGTTAGATCTTTTTTACTGGGGAACTGTAAAAGAAAAAGTGTGTTTCAAGCCGATTCAAAATTTAGCTGAGCTACGGCAAAGACTATTGGAAGCAGCTGAGTTTGTTAATAACCGTGGATTCGCTCGTTTAATAACCCGATCTTTTTTAAGAAGATGTCGAGCGTGTATTGCGGCTGAAGGAAAACAGTTTGAGCATTTGCTGTAAAGGTAAATCATCATCAGCAGCATTTTGATGCCCACTGTTGTGCAAACAGTTATTCTTAAGGGTCCTTGTGCGTTTTCATAATCGCTGTTTAATTAGGAAATTTTGAAAAATTTTCATCAGTTTTTCTTCAAATAAAAATTGTGCATAAGTTAACGAGTAATCTTCTAAGTGTTATACCATTTTGGAATCCTTATTAAATGCGCCAACTTTTAAGGCTACTTGCCAAACTCTCGTAGTACATTTTTTTCCAGTACAGCCAGTTAAATTTGAGCAAAGTTTTACTTTGGAATACTTGGTTGGGAAATAAGTGGCAATTTTTCCTGAACGAGAAAAGCTGGCAGTAAGGTTGAGACACCAGTTTGAAGATGCATTATTCATCATTACATTGTAAAAATAAAATCCAAAAAAAGTTAATATTTGTAGTAACAGGAGTTGACAGACAGCCGTAGGGTGTGAAATTTCTATATTTTTCTCAAAGACCTATAATTTTCAAAACACATACATAAATTTTTTTTAAATATTTTTCTGATCGCTGTTATGACTTTGCCTGGCAGCTCAGTTTTTTTTTGGAAAAACGATCAGACCCGTCGATTTTGATTTCGAGAGGGACACAAGTTTGGCAAAAAATCACGTTAACACGTGCAGCCCCCTGGGCGGGGGTGACACCGAACCTAAAATCTTAAATATAAAGGGGGTCGTGTGATACCTTATTTTAAAGGTCTTTCAATTCCCTTTATAATGATGTAAAATTAATGTACTTCAGTTCAGTAGTTTTGAAGATTTATTGATTTAAAGCTTAAATAAAACTAACACATCATCATTAGTGGAGATCAATACATTTGGCAGCAAAGTAATTTAAAAATGAAGAATGGACTGACCCCTTAGGCAAGTAAATGTTGAAAATGGCTTCCATGACTCTCCATGCAATAATAAAGATTTTGGTCAAAACGTTGCCGCACATTTTGCAATATTTGAGGAGTAATTTGAAGGGACTCATTCATAATTCTTTGTCGCAGGTCTTCTAATGATATTGGCTGAGTAGCATAGATTTTGCTTTTTAAATGACCCCACATAAAGAAATCCAAAGGTGATAAATCTGGCAATCTTGGGGGCCATTCAATGGCCCCTCTTCTACCAATCCATCGATCTGGAAACGTCTGATCTAAATATTGTCGAACACGTAATGCGTAATGTGGTGGGGCACCATCCTGTTGGAACATCAACCTATTCGCAATGTACCGCCGATCATTCTGATTTTCAATTATGGCTGTTAATGCAGGATCTATGGCGTCTTCCAGTAATTCCAAATACATTTCACCGGTCAAATTTCCAGGTAAGAAAAAAGGACCAACTAAATGATCGCCAAAAATACCAGCCCAAACATTTAATTTTTGTGGCTGCTGTGTATGAACCTCATGATAAATTCTGGGATTAGAATCGGACCAATATCGGCATTTATGACGATTTACTACGCCATTTAAGAAAAAGGAACATTCTTCGGGAAAGCAAGTGTTGAATAGAAAATGTTTATCGTTTATAATTCGTTCACTCATATCTTCACAAAATTGTAATCGCCGATCAAAATCGTCTTCATTAAGTTCTTGTACCAGGTGAATTTTATACGGATGAAAACTATGGGCCTTTAGAATCTTTTGGACAGCACGTCGACTAACATCACACACAGTGTCCAATTTGCGGGTACTTAACGTAGGATCTACATAAACTTGCCCTAAAACCCCCACTTCTATTGCTTCGTTTCTTGTGGGATTTTCAATGTTGCGTTTTTTATTGGCTACTGACTCAGTTTCCCGAAATTTAGCTACAAGTTCTACATAGTTTCGATGCACGTTACTGTTCTCATGTTGCTCATTAAATATTTCTGCTGTTCTATTAGCGCACCGATTATTTCCGAAAAATATTTCGATAATCTCAACTCTTTCTGCTGTGGAATATACCATGGTTAATTTATGTAATAAAATGTTACAAGTTATTTTAGCAACAAAGTTTGGTCAAATCAATCGCAAACTATGTACTAAATTCCTATTTAAAATAAATACGAGATATTTTGTTATCTTTCTTCAAGAAATAACTTTCCAATAGCGCTCCAATAGCTATTTTCAAGAACAAAATGGTAAACAAACCATGGGCGTAGTGAACAAAAGCATTTACTTATTAAGTAAACTCTTTTAGTCAAATTTCTTCTGAAAGTAGTACAAACTAATCTGATGTACCTATTAAAGTCTACTTTAAGTTTTAAATCAATAAATCTTCAAAACTACTGAACTGAAGTACATTAATTTTATATCATTATAAAGGGAATTGAAAGACCTTTAAAATAAGGTATCACTCGACCCCCCTTTCCATTTAAGA